CCTCTCTCTCTCTCTCTCTCTCTCTCTCTCTCTCTCTTATGCGTGTGTGCAACACATGCGTGAACCATGATGCCTGGCGCCATTGGCCCGTATGCCCATTGCTTGCATCACCTGCCACCAGCCCTGGTACTCCTCTCCTCCTTTTCTTCTTTTTCTCCACCTGCTCCTCTTCTCTTTCTCCATCTCCTCCTCCTTGTGGTGTAGTGGTATGTATCAGTATACTAGGTGTTGGTATTCTGGAGTGTACCAAGAGTATATTGGTCTAGCCACCGGATCAATACATTGCCAATACCAAGATTTTGAACCATGCTTGAGAGTTGAACTAACTAGACCATTTGCTAAGCCTGCTGCCATTTGTGCACCCAGCCCAATTATTTACTATCTTGAAAAGTTTCATGTAAGAAGACGTAGATGTATCTAGTGATCAAATGATGTATTATGTTACTTTTGAGACAGAATTTGTGTTTATTTGGTATTGAGCTCAACTAGAACCAAGAGAACTATTTAATAGTTTGTTCAACTAGTACATTGGTAATTCGAGTTAAGACTAATAAGAAGCCTCGAAGGGAAAAATTTCTGTTTTCTTTTGCATCAGAGGATACAATCTTTTCCTCTTTTCCTTCCTCCATACAGCAAGACATTAATTAGTTTGGCTTTTGTTTTCAGTTCTCAGACTCAACAGTAGCATAAGAGTATGTAGCTGCTGCTTTGGTCCTTTGGATGAGTTATTTGCACAGATTTGGATCTGGATTTGGTCTTCCTGTACCTGGTTTTGATGGTATGGTGGTGGGGTTTTTCCGAGAAACCCATGAATTGGTTTATTGATGCGCAAATAATGGATCAGAAAACTGGTTATCTTAGTGATGAGTGCAATTCATTGCTGGAATGGTCAAAGATATTCCCGGCAAGGGATTGGAGGACTTACCTATACAACAACTATTTTGAATCAAAGAAGGTGAGGGGGATATGGTGGAAGAAGCTGCTGGCCTGGTGGGTAGCTGCATGGTTCCTGGGTTCCTTATCGATCTTCTGGTTTATGAACTCCCAAGCAGTGGATAAGAGGAGAGAGATGCTTGCAAGCATGTGCGATGAGCGTGCTAGGATGCTTCAGGACCAGTTCAATGTCAGCATGAACCATCTTCAGGCCTTAGCTATCTTGATTTCAACCTTTCACCATGCTAAAGAGCATTCTGCCATAGATCAGGTACCAAGTTTTCTTGTCTTAGGTCCAAATTACTTATGAATATGATGTCACTATGTTTTCATCTGATTTAATATTCTGAAAGTGGAAGAAAACTAAATGTATCACTATGGTGCAACCTTTTGCCATTTTAAAAGTTGCCAATCTGAATGATGACATTTGTTCTGCAGATAACTTTTGCTAGATATGCTGAAAGGACTGCTTTTGAGAGGCCACTGACGAGTGGTGTGGCATATGCCGTGAAGGTGCTGCATTCAGAAAGAGAACAGTTTGAGAAGCAACATGGTTGGAGGATCAGGAGAATGGATCCAACAGAGCAGACACCCGCACGGGAAGAAGATGCAGATTTTGACAACCAGGAGACATCCCCTGTTAAAGATGAATATGCTCCTGTTATTTTTGCCCAGGACACCTATAAACATGTGATTTCATTCGATATGTTGACAGGGAAGGTGAGACATAGATATTCCTTTCATGCTCATCCTTTTTTTTGTCATAATGTTTGTAAGTGCTTGTTATAATATATGTTACAATCATATATTCAGTTTTTGGAATTAAATAAGCTTATTTGTTCTATGGAGTTTAGATTATTTATGATTATATGATATCCAATTTTGTTGTCTCCAGTTAGACACATTTAATTAACATTCAAGCTATTATTTGATAAATGTATGTGTATTCCTATGAGTTGTTCTCATTAAAAATGCTTTAAGATAAAAAAAACCTTGATTAGATTTAAGAGTTAAAGTGTACAACTTTTCAAGTATTGTGAAAAATAAGATATATTTAATACTATGTTATTCTGGGTTCAGTTACTTTACCAAGGATGCATGCAAACAATGTTCTAGATGTTGTAAGCTCTCTCATAGAGTTGACCTCTCTTGTGGACTCTAAATCTGTGAGAGAGGTGACAACATTTAGGTAGTTGTTTGGATGGAAGCTTGGTACATGATGCATTATTATTTTATATTTTGGAAGATGTATATATTGTATAAAATTTTCATCCAACTTCTTGAAATCTTTTGGTGGTTAACTAGAAGCTGAGATTGACGTGTTGCATATTAACATATGTTATTATATCATTCGACTAAGATATATATGCTTTTGAATGCAGTTTTTCTTTTGTTAGACTTCATTTGAGCTATTGAGTTACTACAAATATTATTGGTTTAGATGTGACTTAACAAATCCTTTGCAGAATTTAGGAACCTTTTGCTGAATTATGTATAACTATTAGTTGTGATGTGCTAATGTCACACTTATTTGCTAATTCTAACAAGATATCAATTTGTTATAGTTATATTGTTATTCTGATGTGGCTAACTAATCATTCTTCACATGAATGACGATGCTTGTGACGGTTAATATTCTGGAGTTACATGCTGTAGCTGAGATGCCAAGAACCAACCAATTAACATGTGGAGCTACAGTGTTCATCATCTAACCAATTACAGTGGACCACCACTGCCACCTTAAGACTTGCTTCGTATTCCAACTATTCTAGCAAGTGAAGATATTTCCTTATGTGCAGGAAGATCGTGAAAACATCCTACGAGCTAGGGAATCTGGGAAAGGGGTTCTAACTGCTCCTTTTCAGCTATTAAAGTCAAAAAGGCTTGGGGTTATTCTGACATATGCAGTTTACAAGTCACAACTTCCTTCATATGCGACACCAGCTGAGCGTATCCAAGCAGCCATAGGGTAAGTTAGTATATAATCATGCAAAAAGTCCCTAAGCAGAAAAAGATACTCATCAAGAATGCATATGCTCAAGAATTCCAACAAATTTCAATTTGGCATGTGAAGGTACTTGGGTGGAATCTTCGACATAGAGGCTCTAGTGGATAAATTACTTCACCAACTTGCATGCAAGCACTCCATTGTGGTCAGTGTTTATGATACAACAAATCCTGATGCACCAATTAGTATGTATGGTTCAAACATGACTGGAATTGGCATGTACCATAATAGTACCCTTCATTTTGGCGATCCAGTAAGAAAGCATGAGATGCATTGCAGGTAACTGACACAACTTCCCCAAAGCAAATATTGCTATAAAGGAAAACAGTACCTTGATCTGGATGTGAACATACATGAGATGTATGATAACATGAGACATATGATACACTCATACACCATTTTTACCATCATTGTTTTTGCAGGTTTAAACAAAAGTCTCCGCTTCCATGGCTCGCAATAACAACTTCATTTGGAACTCTCGTTATTGCTTTACTAGTTGGATACATAATCCATGCTACTGTCAACCGCATTGCGAAAGTTGAAGATGATTATCGACAAATGATGGAACTTAAAAAGCGGGCTGAAGCAGCCGATGTTGCAAAGTCTCAGGTACATTATGTTGTCTTTATTATACGTATTGACCTTCTGATGCTTTAACATCACTGATCCTTTTGTACTTGGTTTTACACCCCCGATATTGGTTGTTCTCTTTTGTCTCTTCAGTTCTTGGCAACTGTTTCTCATGAAATAAGGACACCAATGAATGGAGTATTGGGTGAGTGATATGTTTCTGTAAAGTGAAATATATTGGAGAGTTTAATCGTGATCAAACATTAACAGATTCTGACTTCCAGGTATGCTTCAAATGCTTATGGATACTGATCTGGACATAACACAAGAAGACTATGTTAGAACCGCCCAAGCCAGTGGAAAAGCTTTGGTGTCACTTATAAACGAGGTTCTGGATCAGGCTAAGATTGAATCTGGTAAGCTTGAGCTTGAAGCTGTTCCATTTGACTTGCGGGCTGTGTTGGATGATATATTGTCACTTTTCTATGGAAAGGCTCAGGAGAAAGGACTAGAGGTATCTAAGAGTTTTTAGAATTCTGTTTAGAATCTATTTTCATAAACTAATTCTCTCTTCCTTAATTGCTGCTCGAACTAACTGCATAGTTGGCGGTATATGTCTCTGATCAAGTCCCTGAAATTCTCATTGGTGACCATGGAAGAATACGCCAAATCATCACAAACCTGATCGGAAATTCAATAAAAGTAAGATTTTAGCTTTGCAATTACTGGAAAGATGGATATTTTGTTTAGACAAATTCTTATTTTGCAGTTCACAGAGAGAGGTCATATTTACCTGACTGTCCATCTTATTGAAGAGATGAACTCACCTGATGTAGTTACAGAAGCTCATTCTACAAATACCTTAAGTGGCTTTCCAGTAACTGATAGAAGATGTAGCTGGGAAAGCTTTAAGATCTTCAATCAGGGACTTTCTGCAACTGATCCATCTCTTCCGTCAATCTCTTCTGATCTTATAAATCTGATCATATCAGTTGAAGACACAGGGTTGGGGATTCCTTTAGAAGCCCAATCCCGTGTGTTCACTCCTTTCATGCAGGTGAGACCATCAGTTTCTCGCATTCATGGCGGAACTGGCATTGGCTTGAGTATTAGTAAGTGTTTAGTTGGTCTCATGAAGGGAGAGATCGGATTTGTGAGTAAACCTCAGATTGGTTCCACTTTTACCTTCACAGTTGTGCTCACAAGGGCATATGCTATTTCAAATGATTACAAATCATCAGAATTTCATGGGATGGCTGCATTGGTAGTTGATCATAGACCGGAACGTGCAAAGGTCACAAAATACCATCTCAACAGGCTGGGCATATATGCTATATTGGAAATTGACCCAAATAAAGTTCTTCCTAGATTAACAAGTGGGACATTGACAACGAATATGGTGATTATTGAAAAGGAAACATGGTCAAATAATGCTAGTATCTGGCCTTCTATTATCAGCAATTTAAAGGGTGATCAGTTAGATATTCCAAAAGTTCTCCTTTTAGCAGGTCCTGCAAGTTCTGCCAAAGGTATGTCTGTTGGTTCGATGGAATATATCTCAACTATAATCTCAAAGCCGCTCAGAGCAAGCATGCTTCAATTATCTTTAAGACGAGCTATGGGTTGTGGAGATGGGGAACATGCACAAGATGAAAGGCTTCCCCGGTTATCATTGAATCGCCTTCTTAATGAGAAGCAGATTCTGGTAGTTGACGACAATATTGTAAATCTTAGAGTAGCAGCTGGTGCTTTAAAAAGGTATGGAGCTGAAGTAACTTGTGCAGAGAGTGGGAAGAAGGCTATTAAAATGCTCAAGCCACCACACAAATTTGATGCTTGTTTTATGGATATTCAGATGCCTGAAATGGATGGGTACGCCTCATTACTTGCTTTATGACATCATCTTATAACTGCTTTCCGTAATCATAAATTTCTTTTTCTAATTTGAATCTCTTACCATGTCAATCTTCTATTAGAGTTCAAAATGGTTGTACTTTATACTTTTTCTGGTATCCAACATGTTCTTTAGGATGAATTTTCTTTTCTTCTAGTCAATGTTTTTTCTTATGATGAATTCTGCATTAATTTTTTTGTTTACATCTCAATACACTTTTAAAACTAGTATATTAGTTTACAATTTCAGGTCATAATTTAGTAATATAATTTTTTGTTTGTTTAGATTTCAAGCTACTAGGAGGATACGTGAGATGGAAGCTGATGTAAATAATCTAATAAAGCATGGGAAGGTGCCATTTGAGTGTTACCGGGATGTATTACACCTGCATATTCCTATACTGGCCATGACAGCAGATGTAATCCATGCAACACATGAGGAGTGCCTAAGGTGTGGAATGGATGGCTATGTTTCAAAACCATTTGAAGGGGAACAGCTGTACAGGGAAGTTGCTCGGTTTTTAGAAACATCTGCAAAAGGGAATCAATAGAGAAGGGTAACTCTGGAAGATCCACTAATGATAGGATGTTGGCACAAGTTTTGGTACATTTGAGCTTCAGGCACTGTCTGATGAAACATATTGTTTCAGAAGTGAGCAACTCTAACTGACCTTATTGCCTATTTACAATTAAGTATTTGTTTTACTGCAAGTTCTTATAATATTGAATTATTATGGTATTATGAAACTTTACAGTGCAAACTTTCTGGAATTTGTAAAATCATTGAAATATAATACAGAAATACATTTATATGTCTTGTGTATGCTGTTAATGATCAGAAGACTCCTCAACGCTATTTCATCTTTTTTGTATCTTCAAACTTTGTTTATATTAAACTTTCTATATATTGTCATCGACTCAATGCAATGCAGATTTGCTAGACAATCTAAAGTACTGCCCATGATTATATTTAACAATAATTATTTGGAAAATGTTATATGCTAGCTAGACTATTGAATGAATACTTCCATCTGGCAGGTACTCTACAAAATCAGTTATGAGCCCCTCAAAAACGAAAAGCTACAACAGCTTTCAGAGAGTGGAAGGTGATGGGTACTCGGGAACAAGGTATCTGCAATCTGTATATTTTTTCTCTCTTATGTAAAGCAGTATTCCAAAGAAGAAAAGCAATTTTTTGGTCTCTTAGCCTATGTCTGTATGCCTTGTAAAGTTGTAACCTCTAAGGAAAAAATGATAATTGAATATGAGATTTTCTCACCCAACTAACCTTCAATCATATTTGATTGAACAAAGACAACAAGGACAGTAGGACCTACCTATGGAATAATGTATGACTGAAAATGAATAATTATGCTGATTAATGTTGTAATTACATCCCAAATATGTGAACATGTTGGAACAATTTGTCTAACAAGTCAATCCTTCATACAAATGACTGCAATATAGTTGCTCATTGAGAACCAAACTCTCCATGAAAAATCCTATGTAGTATTGATTTAATTGTGTAATAGCTCAACGAAATTGATTATCCATCCAATTGTGACTGGTTTTTGAGTAATTTGAGGCCTTTCCATCACCTCGCTATAAAAGTGGGCATCAATTTCAAAATCTTGTTATGATGATACCTTGGTCATACATGTTTTCTCCATGGCAATGCATCAAGTAGGTTTCTAACTATCTTGAATCTCATTTTAGACTTTTACCCTACCTATTTAAAGCCTGTTTGCCCATTCATGAATTCAAGTCAATTTTCCATATATGATCAGTTTGAATCAGTCAATCTTGGCAATTAAATGAATTCTGAGCACTAATTGATAAATTTAAAACCTCATACATCATGTGATATAAAACTTGTAATAGCTATTACCATCTGCTATTCCAAGATTGGCTAGAGCAAAGGACATCGTGTTTGTAACACAGGAGACTGCAGGTCTACAATACGCATTGTTTGACTATCACTGGCACCAGACAAATATCTGAACTAAGCAAACTCTTAAAATTGCTTCAAGTAATTTTGGAACTCATGTCATCTTAGTAAAAGATACTTGCTATATCCAAGATGAGAAGCAATTAGATTGCAGTCCTCTATAACAGTTATATCCTCCTTTGAAACCAACTGTGAGTTTATCTTTTTTCTTTCCTGATATAATTGATAGAAAGATTGATGGTTTATGAAAACATCAAATACGTTTGATATAGAAAAAGGATATGCTTTCCACAGAAGAAAAGAATATGTGAAGTTCCTTTTGGAGGTCTACACATGGATTTAAGAATGTCAAGGGCTTCATGATTATTACAATTTTGCAAAAAAAAAAGAAAAAGAAAAAGATTGTAACACCCTTTTCCCCCTCCCAAAGTGACAATTATTGTTCTTAATAGGTAAAAAGCAAATTTCTTTTTTCTGGCTTGTCAAGTTTAAACATTAACATCTTTGGACTAATCATCATGTTCAGGGTTATCATGCAAAGCATGCAACTTCTGTGTTGACAATTTCTTGCTTTTTTGTGTATCCTGATGTAAACATCGTTTTTATAGTTTTCGTAACTAATAGTCACCTCTATTCATCTTCCAGGTGTGATAGTTGGAGATGGAGCAGATCCTTGTTTGTTCTCTATTCATTTGGTTGCATCTAACTTGTAGGATCCATCTATATCAAGATTAATGTGAGATGCATAACCATAGATGCAACTTTCATTCTCTGACATGTTATGGAGAAGAAACACCTTTTTGGACCTGATAACCACTGCTGATCCTCTGCCTGTCTTCAATAAAGTAGATCACAGACGATTGTTGATTTTCCTCCTGGAGCATTAGATGAGGTGTGTACATAGACTAAGAGTCATTTTAGATTTTTTATTTGTTTGTCAAATATGTGATAAAATACGTCTTCTACAGCAACACAAGTAACTCATGGATGTAAATTACATTAGTCAGAATAAAATCTCACTGAAGTCAGATTCAACACTTGGCATCCGGTTGAATCCATTCATGTGTGGCAATTCGTGAACTTACATTTTTGTCATCCGGTAAACTCCGATCATGTTTATTTACATGATAGCTGCAGCATACTGTTGTTAAATGCTAAAAACATCCATTTTAGACAACCAACCTATCCATGAACCTCTGAGTTACAAAGTCACAGTTGTTATGTCTGGATTCAGTTGTTGGTTGCCAGGCTCAGCCAGAGCATATGATGATTACCTGCAAACAATTCAAGTAGATGATTTATTTTTTTCCTTTCTGGATTTTGCAGCATCTGAAGCCACTTTGTTGTAGTAAGATCAATTCTAAGGTGAGATTCTTTACTTGACATTGCAGGTTTTGTTTCAGCATTAGGTTATCCATGAAACTGCTTTTGCCACTACAAACATCCTCTTTGTCGAGTGATTACCTGTCTCTTTCTTCAGATCATCTTTAACAGTTGCTAGTTTCATCATTCATTCTTCTGTACAACATAATTATATATATATATATATATATATATATATATATATATATACATATATCATTATGTAATTGTATGATATAATAATGTGTTGGACTAGTTCAAGAACTTTGGGCTTAACACAGTAGTCAACAACACATATAGTTGTTAAAATGAGAATGTGTGCTAAGTCATACCCATCTGATGCCATTCTGTAAATAAAGAACAAAAAAAAAAAAAGGCTTCGAGATAAATCTAATCTATCTTTATATTTTCCTCAGTTCACTGTTCAACATCAATCATAACTGCACACTATTATGAAAAGTGCACAGTTTTTTCTAGTCAATATATTATTTAACGAATCTATGAATATGATTCAACGGTCGTTCACAAAACGATTTAATTAATCAAAATTCACTCAGTTATAATAATATTTTGTTCTAATCATATTAAGCCAAAGAGTGAACACAATTGAATTGTTGCATCTCCACAATAATATGCGATACATATTTGGAGTCCGAGTTCATGGATAATATCTTACGGGGAACACATGCTTTGGCATGGTTCGACCTCCGGTTCAACCAGTGTCGAACCTCGCAGTTCCGGTTCAGCGACCGGTTGATCACTGTGCAAAATTATTCGAATTTTAATTTTCTTATAATACGAGAAAAAAAAAGTCATCGAGAATCCCGAAATAAAATGGTTTTCCTTCGATCTGCTTCTCTCTCTCTCTCTCTCTCGACCATCTCTCACTCCATTCCGCTCACCTGATCCGAGCCCGAACCCTCTCCTTCTCTCGTTCTCCATCCGCTTTCCTGCAAACCCTAATCCTGATCTTAATCCTAATCCCCCGAGCCGTCATCCCTATCGACCCCACGCTCTCTCTTTCTTCTCGCCCTCGTATTCTCCGGGTTTGTCTCCTCGGAAACCCTGATTCGGGCTCTGCGGTTCCGATCTCTGCGTTCTGCACAACCAGGTGCGGTGAGGATGGCGGGCGGCAACGTGGATCTGCCGGAGGATCTCCTCCCTTCGAAGCTGGCGGACGAGGCCTGGGCCGGGAAAGGTGGTTACCCGACGCTTCGTTTCTTTGTTTGCGTTTCCTGGGATTCGTGTTTGCCGATTTGAACGGGTCGATCTTGAAGCCGGGTCTTAGGGTTTTGTTCTTCCGTTGTCAGATTTTCTTGCCGACTTCATTCCATTGTTAGCTGTGTACTTTTTCATGAACATGTTGATCGATGAGCTAAATATTGTTGCTAGAAAGAAAAAAATAAAACTCTTTAAAAGCAGCAAACAATAAGGACCAAAAATCATCTACTTGCAGGGGTGATTAGTTTTGTCATATCCTCACTGATCAATGTTATCAATGATTTTTTGAGTTTATGAAGGGCCTGGGGAATCTGCACTATGCTGCTATATGCTATTAGTAGTAACAATGAGTTCTGTTTTAGAGTTGTTGAAATCCAAGAGGTTCCTCTAGGGCCCAATTTAGATATATGTATGTTCTTGGATTTTTATTTTCTTTGAGATATTTTTATTTTTTTGTTTATGTTGAATCATGCAGTCGTCTCTTTAGTTTCTTTTGTTGAATTGGAAGTTTTTTCTTGTCAGATACTCTTACTGGTGGAAATGGCAAGGAAAAAAAAAACTTATGGGGTTTCTTGATAAGGGGAAGGGTGATTTACTTGATGCTGGTTTCTTTGATTCAGTTAGGTGGCATGCTCTGTTTTAGCAATTGTTGTAAATAGTATCCATCTGGATTTGTGACACTGAAAGAGCAACTGAGCTTCCCTTTTGTAGGGCTTTTAGTGTCATATCTGGGTTAGACTTTGCTATAAGAATTGATTGAATTTGCTGCATTGCACAGAACTTATTTTAGTTCATAAATATTAGGAGCTTTGCTTTTGATGTGTATGCTAAGTTTGTCATCCATTGTTTATTATTTACTCCAGAATTTGTGAGCTTTTGCAGGACTTATAGTTGTAACCTGGTTCCATTTACTTGTCCGATGTATAGACTTGGAGTTGTATGATTCGGTATTTGCTTCTGCATAACCTATGGATTTTTTTTTGTGAAATTTCTGCCATTCTTATTTAGCTTGCTGGTTAGTGTGTATTTAACAAATTTCAGAATCCTTAGTTTTACCAGAAACTTCTGGGAACTCTACCTTTCTGTTATTTTACATGCACATCAACTGACAAAGTCATTATGACTTTTTCCCATACATACTATTGCTTCTTATTGCTACCTTCCTCTTCGTTAAAAGGATCAAGATTTTCTGTATAAAATTCTGCTTTTGTTTCACTAACTTGTTAATATAATTCTAATGACTCGTATGTAATTCTGGTGCAGATCAAGTGACTTCTGAAAATAATATTCCTCTGTCTCCCCAATGGCTCTATGCTAAGCCCAGTGACAACAAGGTTTGGCATTTCTACTGTACTGGTAGCATCTTTCTTTTCTACTATATGGTGATAATTTATTGTATTTTTCTATTTAAGTGGGCTTCATGATTGCTTGTTTAAAATTTTCATTCTTCTTTTGTGTTTGACATATCTTCTCCTTGTTCACTTTGCTTCCTTGCTGGTATTTCAGAGTTTAGTAACTTAAGCTTGTCATTTTCATCATCGTTTCTTCTTCAAAAAATATGTTCAGTTAAGGCCATAATATTTTCTAGGTGGTTTAGTTTCAATCCATTGGTTGGCCCCTATTTTTTTTCATTTGGGTAGTAAAATTCAATGATTTAAATAGGTGCTCGGGCGCTCGCTTAAGTGCTCGAGAGACGCGAGGCCCGAGCGCCTTGTGTGTGCACTAGGCGACGCACTTCAATGAGGCGCCGCCTGGCCACTCGCCCGAACGCAAGCGCTAGGTGCTTCGGGCGAGCGCCCGACTCTATTAGGCGAATTGAACCGGTTTAAGGTTGGTTTGGTTCATAGTTTCTTACCTCAAAATCATGCTTCACACCTGCGGGACCCCGAGGAACCCTAGCGCTCCTTCTGCCTCTGCCGCCGATGCTTTTTGCTGTTGCCTTCGCTACAGACGCAGCTAACCGAGCCTTCCTTTGTTGTCGACGGACGAGTCTGACCGTAGGTTCCTTTGCCATTGACGAACGACCTCTGGAGCTTCCGTCGCTGTCGTTGTTGCTGTTCGCAGCTTTCGCCGCTGTTGTCCGTAGCTTCCACTGTTGCCATTGCTACTGCCGGCAGCTTTCGTCGCTACCGCTGCTGCTGTCTCTGTGATTGTTAATATTTTTTTCTCCCCCCCTCTAACTTTAAGTAATATGCTGTTAACAATATATTAAACCGCTGTCGCTGCTGCTATCTCCCTCTGTTACTGTTAATAATTTTTTCTCTCCCCTCTAACTTTAAGTAATATATTGTTAACAGTATATTTTTAATTTAATATTATATTTTAATTTAAATAATTATATTTTTAAATATATTATTTATTTTTATATTTTAATATTTCATAGAATATTTTTTTTCCTCTTCTAACTTAAGTAATATACTATTAACAGTATATTTTTAATTTAATATTATATTTTTATTTAAATAATTATATTTTTAATTATATTATATATTTTTTATAGTTTAATATTTTAGAGCGCCTTGCTTCGCTCGAGCGAGCGCCTGCTACCTCAGGCATTTTGGGACTTTGGTGCCTTTTGGCACCTAAAACTTTTTAAATCACTGGTAAAATTTAGCATAGGACCTATGTGAATAGACATCATAATTGATTCTAGTTGCATGCTCTTATTTATACTTTTGAATATCGCTAGCCTTCACTAGCATTTGAATGGAAAACTCTTTTTTGTCTAGTGGTGACTTGCTTTGACATTTCAATGTGTGCATGGTATTTTAACTTACAATATATATGCAGTTCATTTTAGTCCTTAGGAATTAACTTGTGAATTTGTCAAGCTGCTATTATGGTATCATTGTCAAGTTGATGAAATGGGATAACCGTATCTATCAAACCATAAGAGAATCGAGGGTTAGATATAGAAAATTCTGTTAAGATGCTGGTCATAAGCCAGATAAATATTGAAAGAGAAAAGGACAATCATGGCCATGCAACCTTTAGTTAAACAATTTTTAATATGTCATTAAAACATACTACATTATTGTAATTAAGCTTATATTTATGGGTTTGCAAACCAACATATATATGGAACAATATCTTCTGTGACTGGATTCTTCTAACCTCCCTGATTTATCTTGCTGTTGAAATCTTTTTAATTCAAATATGTGCTGATTTAAACAGAGTAGGATTTTAAATGCCATTGGTCAAATTCCTGGAATTTGACCAATGGCAACAACAAAACTGAAAATCCTAATCAAGAGATCTACTGTTCAACCATTTTTATTTGCTGAATTTCTTTTCAATGCAGATATTATTTGAATGATTGAAGTCAAATCAGCATCTGATAGCAAGATATTACTGGCGTCTGATCTCTTGTTCTAGAAAATGATATCTCCAAATTTGCTTTCTAAATATGAACTCCAAATAAATAAATAAACAAATAAATAAATAAATAAATAAATAAATAAATAAATAAATATATATATTCCAATAAAATCTCAGTCAAGCAACAACTTTAAAAGATAATATGCCTATTAGAAATCTTTTGCATTTGGACTGCTAAGATCTAACTCAAAATAAAAGTCAAGACCAACTTAATTTAACCCAGCAATTCATTATAGACTTAATGCAAACTCAAAACAGCACCTAAGCTAAGCAAAATATGACTTGATTTAAACCACTTTGATATTGATTTGAATTAAGTGAAACTACTTCAAATTCATGTATTTGAAGTTGTGGACTCTAATGATTGCTAATAAAATCAGTACTTCACAAACTCAATTAATTCTAACCAAAACTGGAATTGATCTTGTAGCTATGGCTGCATCAGAATTGCATGGCCATTAGTTTGCCATTTGATTTCTATGTACCATCGGTGGGTTGCATAAAATCAACAATTTGGAAAAGATGAACTTTCAACGATACCTTTTTGGCCTTAAAATTTTGAACTGTTCCAATTGAAATGCCAATCTAGTGCATGAGATTCTTGTCAATATGGGATCCAGGGATGATTAAGGTACACAACTAATAAGTAGAGCGATTATTTTTGTGACTCAAACCCTTGACACTAAGGTTGCAAACGAGCAAATTTTACATGGGCACAATAAGAATGAGAGTACTCAAATTTTGCATGCGAACAATATAGCACAATAATGCTATATTGTTATATGATAGTTAACCTGATGGCATCATATCTATTCTTCAGATTCACCATCAAGGTTCTGAAATGATTACTTGATTTATTTCACAAAAAATCATATCCTTGATCTGAAACGTGCTGCCCATGCTCGTTAATGGTCTATATGCTGAAAATCATGACTGTCTGAAGGATTTAGTTTCTTGAATGCTTTCCTTAAAACATTTTGTATTTTATGATATAGACTGACACTTGGGTACTCCTAAGTCTACTATGGTACTACGTAATAAAAGTACAGTGTGGTGGTATTTTGAAACTTGTGTATTAGCCTTTTTGAAAGGGTTCTTTTTAACACAGGTGTTAATGCATTAGCCGGTTGATTTTTCTTTAAGAATTACATCAAGTCTTTTCATGGGTTTCTTGGCCATGCTTGATATCTGCGCTTATATATATGCTTATGATTGTGGTTTTGGAAGTCTTAATGGTTTAAATGCAGGGCCTTCTTTTGGTTGTGCAGGTTGATACTAGATAACCTGTTAATGTTATGTGCTAATAGTGTATCATGTGGTCTTTTGTGATTTCAAACATCTATTTTTATTTGATATTTTCGATCATAAAAAAATTGGTGTGACAAGTGATTATTGGTGATCTTTACTGCTTTAGGAGATTTTTGGTTGCTATTAGAAGTATTAGAATTAAGCATGATGCTTTTCGTTAATGGAAATTTTTTGATGAAATATTAATAAAATTGAGAGACAAATTTATCATCTTTTACTTCTTGAATTACTTGATTATGAGATGACCTTTGTGCTGGATCCATTCCTGGGTGTTGTAGCTTATAAGAACTATTAAAATCATGTATGATGCTTTCTATTTATGCCAACCTTTTGGTGAAATATTTTTCATAAACAAGACAGGAATTTAAATAATCTTTTACTTATGAATCTATCAGAGTTTCGTAATTTCGTATCGTATCGATGTTTCAAGTTTTGCTTGGTATGGTACGATACAAGTATATCGGGCAGTATGTTAGGGTTTACCGCTCGGTACACACACACACACATATATATATCTATATGTACACACATACATATATATATATATATATATATATAACCGGTCTTCTCCTTATTTGTGGCGTTCGACGAAGGCGTCAAAGGCCGCAGATGCCTCCGGCCTTCAGCGAAGAGTGCAGCGAAGGTCACAAGCATCTTCAGCCTTCGGCGAAGAACACGGCTAGGGTCGTAGGCATCTCCGGCCTTTGGTGAAGAACGCGGCGAAAGCCGCAAGTGTCTTCGGCCTTCGGTGAAGAACATGGCGAAGAAGAAGTCGAGTCGTCGCCTCTCTGTTACCTTTTGGATTGGGATCGTCGAGGGAGGGCAGCGCCGAATCGGGAAGCGTAAAGCTTCTCCCGATTCTCCCCCTTCTTTGAGCGCCTTCTCCCTCTTCTCCCTCGACACTTCTTCTTCCTTCACCGTAGTCAGGCTGATATCGACCGGTAGTAGGTGGCCATGTATCGGTTTGCTGGTGGATTGGTACGGTACCGTATGGTATCATTCAAAATTAAAATCCTTGAATCTATCAATTAAAAAGGGTCATTATCCTTGCACTTAATTATTCCACTTAACCTTCTTTGTCAGAGACTTTGTGCAAGTGGAATCGTAAAGTTATATTCATTTAGTTCCTTCAATTTGTTGCAGATTTTCTAGTCAGCTAGCATTCAACTGTTCCATATAGTTGAGTAGAAGAATAGCTAACAATTTGATGTGACGGTGGCTGAGACAAGACAACTTTCTCAAACTTTAATAACCTGTAGGATCTTTTTACTTAATATAAACTTAGAAGTGGCAATACTTTTCAAAAAATGAAGTACTATAGCATTATGGAAACTTAGATTCTTTCCGTGAGAAGCAGCTTTTGATCAAGAATGTTTGTTTGTTATTTCATAGTATTTGTTGTGATCAAGAAATTGCAAGATCTAATGTAGTGCATCATGCATTATATCTGTTTTCTGTTTGTTCATCATTTGCAGTCTTGTTGCAGTCATGTTTGTCTTAACTAATGCTTTTTAAATATTCTGACTATTGGCCGTATGTGTGACAGGATGCTCGGTCACCCAGCTTGGCACCTTCTGTAACCTTGCCTGACTCCTTTCAGAATGACATGCGGTGTTTTGATGGCTCACTGGATAAGAAAGAATGGAGAAGGAATGCCAATGATCTTGAAAGCAATCGCCGATGGCGTGATGAGGAGAGAGAAACTGGTTTGCTTGGTAGGAGAGAATGGAAAAAGGAAGGTGACCGAGAAACTGAGTATCGTAAAAATGACCGCCATCCTGACAATATTTCTATGAGAGAAGCTCCTGATTTGAGGACTTTGTCCTCATCTGATTGGTTGCATGAAGTTTCTAATCGTAGTGCAGGCAATGAAAGTCGCCGTGATAGTAAGTGGTCATCAAGGTGGGGTCCTGAGGACAAAGACAAGGAGCCACGGAAAGAAAAGAAAGCGGACGTAGATAAAGATGGTTCTCATGCTGAGAAACAGTCTTTTATTGCTAACCTCCGTCCCTGGTCTGGGTCTGATTCTCATGATAGATGGAGACCTCGACATCGTCAGGAAATTCATTCCAGTGGATCTTCAGTGCTCCGTGCTGCACCTGGATTTGGTTTGGAAAGAGATCGTGTTGAGGGTCCACCTGTTCCTTTCACTTCTGGTAGGGGTAGATCAAACTCTGTTACAGTATTGCAATTTGGCAAATCATCTGCTTCTGGCCCCATTGGTGCAGTCCCAATAAATAAAGAACAGTTCCGGTATCCCAGGGGAAAACTTCTTGATATCTATAGGAATCAGAAGATGTCTGTTGTTGATGCTATCCCAGATGGTTTTGAAGAAGTTCCTCTAGTAACAGGATCTAGTTCTCTAACTCCTTTGGCCTTTGTTGCACCTGATGTAGATGAAGAGGTAAGCTGAATTGTAATTTATCCACTAGATCATTGTTTTCTCTTGTCGCATTTGCAGCTAAAGTGATCCCTCCAAATCTTGCATATCGGAGAAGATTATACAAAGATTGCAAATACTTTTGTAGTTCTATTGCTTTATTTACTTATCTTATGTGAACATAGATATAGTTTGACATTGAAAGAGAACTTGTGGAAATAATTTGATTTTGGAAAGTAGAACCTGAAGAATTTATTTTGTATTGAATGATAACTTTGATACATATATTTCATGCGGAGAGGTTTGTTAACTTTGTTTATTGTTCTCAATAATAACGTGAAAAAGGCACTACGATATGATGACTTGTAAAATTATGATCTACAAATGACAAATGATACATGCTACAGTTAGTTTAGTGCCAAGTAACCATTACTAAAACCACAGCGCATGCCTTCACTTTACCTGCATGGTCATAAATTTTGGTTGGAAAATGTGGTCTATGAAGATTTTAGTTCACATTGTTTTTTGTGCTATTATTTTTGAAATTTCTAGTCAAGCTATGTGTTCTATCTTGATGGAGATAAATCTTTCCGATGGACATATATATTTTTTAAATATTGGCTGCTTGTCTTAAAGGTTCTTCTGAAAGATATTTGGAAGGCGAAGGTCACAAGCCGTGAACTCAGTTTAAGTCAGGAAAAGGCAGTGATAATTAATGAGACTGAGATTGGTAAGCAACATGCCATAATACTCAATTCAATCTGAGTAGTGAGTAAGCTTACTGAATCATGTTATTTATTAATTTTTTTTATGTAGATGGGGGCAAAACCATAGTTGAGAAGAAACATGATGAAAAGGGATCTATTACCACTTCTAGAGGTCATGAAATACTTGTGTTGCATATATATTTAAAGCTCTTCTTGACTTTTGTTGTTCATTACTAAAAGTTCTGTTGATTTTTCATTTTAGATCTGGATACGGACTGCAAAAGTGAGAATAATCCTGACATTCGGATTAACTTAGTGGGGCCTGCTGGTCTGGCTCCGGTGGTGGTAGACCATGATGTTGTTTATGATAAACCAGTTTCAGATGGTAACATTATTAATTCTGAGATTAATGTTGGTGAGATAGAACTGGTAAATGTTGATGGGCGATCATGTCTTTTGGACATTCTGAAGAATATCAAGTTAGAAGGAGAGGATTCAACTGTTTCACTTGATGTTAGTGCTATGTTACCTGATGAGTCATATCCTTTGTTTGATGCATCTTTTGAGATCCCAAACACCAACAAGCATGAAATCAGCAAAATTGAGAAAAAGCATTTAGAGCAGGGAACTTCTCTTGAGGAGTTGAGTTTATTATACCAGGATCCCCGAGGAGATATACAGGGTCCTTTTCTAGTTGTCGACATTATCTCATGGTTTGAACAAGGTTTCTTTGGTACAGATTTACCAGTGTGTTTATCAGATGCTCCTGAGGGCACACCATTTCAGCCACTAGGTGAAATTATGCCTTACTTGAAACTGGAGACTCATACCATCTCGGATGCACCGTCTGCTGAAAATTTTGAAGCTGTGGACACTACAAGGGGAAACCTGGATGCTTGTGTTGCCTCGTCCCATTCTAATGGCTCTTTTATTACGAATGGTCAACAACGGGTGCTATCATGGGATGCTCTGGGTCGTCACATGAAACCCAATGTTGTTGAGAGTGAAGCTTCAGTAAATCCTAACAAAGAAAGGTTGTCTTTTTCCAATTCAGAAGCACCTCTGGGTACCGCATGTGTTGACGGAAAAATCTTCCAGGATTTTGCTGGGCAAGATGCAGAAGGTTTGTATTGCTTGAGCTATTTGCCTTATATATGGGTTGATATTTAATGTTTGTCAAATTTTGTAGTTGCTGAATAGAACTTTCTGTCTGCAGTTGTATCGTTTAGTGGTAGGCCTATGAGTGACATGGAGGTGTCAGGAAAGCTTGTTAATGACCACATTGCTCTATCAAGCTCCACTACTGGTCATCATTTTATGGTGGCGGATACAGGAAATACTAGTTTTTCCAGCCATAAGATTTCAAGAGATAATGACTTAAATCCTCTTGGATTGTTGTGGTCTGAGCTGGAAGCAACTCATGTGAAGCATCCCCTTTCATCAACTATTCCTCTCTCGTCTGAGAAGTTGATTGACAATCATGATGCTGCAAGAAATGCCTTTCTGTTTAGCCACAATCAGGAACAGTTTAATTTAACAAGTGACTACCCTGTTGCTAAAGAATCATGGGCCAACAACTGCAGAATGAGTAAGGGTTTAAACATAATTCATGATACCATTTATGCAAATAACTTGTCACGGTTTGAAGCCCAGCCCAACCAATTAAATTTAGAGCAACAATTGCTCTTCCAACAATTACAAAAGCAGCAACATGAAGAGCAATGCTTGCTGGCCCATCAAGATGTTGAGTTTGCTGGAAAATTCTTCAATCAGATGCATAGATCTGTCCACCAGCACCACCTTGTTAATCAACGATCTATGGAGGATCTAGAGCACCTACTGAAATATCAGTTTGAACAGCAGCGTTTTCTTGATCAGTTGCAGCAGCAACATCAATTGCATCAACGACAGCAACAACTGCAAGAACATCAGATGCAATTACTACAACATCATCTTCAATTTCATGAACCTCAACAACCACAGAAGCAGATTCATCGTGAAGATTTGTTGCATCAGCATTTACTTGAACCTGGTTCTGGAGCTTCAAATATTGATTCTCATGAGATGAACATGTTTGAACAGGTTCTTTTAAGGCAGCATCTTTTGAATGAGACACACCAACAGTCTCATAATCTTCTGCTGCATCATGACGCAACTATTGAGCAACTTCTCCAAGCAAATGTTTCCCGGAGCTTGCAGAGGCAGAATCATAATGATCTATTGGATGTTCTATCTCATTCCAAGCAGAGGCAGGTGCCTCCGTTAGAACAACAATTTCTTTTAAGGCTTCAGCGCGAGCAGCTTCAAGGACAAAAATACTCCACTGCTTCAAGGAAGCTGCCTGGCATGGAAGAAGAGAGACATGTAGGAGGGGTCTGGTCGGTTGATGAATATGGTCAGTTCATCAGAACTGCAGCTAGTCCCCACCAGAGCCATTCTGCCAGACTTAGCCACTTGGACATTTTGCGGACACCACAGTCACTTTCATCACCTGAACAGCCGAGCCATCTTCATCGAAACTTTCCATCACATGAGAGAATGCAACAAGGTCCTTATGAACGAGGGCCACATCCTATAGACAGGTCAATGCATATGCATGCAGTTACTCCTAATTCAAACTTGAAACTCTTAAATGCCATAGCACGAGCTCAAGGTCCAGATGGACAAGGACATCTTGATCATTTCCATACTCCTGGTCAGATAGGACAATTTCCTTCTAGTGCTCACCCTTGTCAAAGTGACATATTTGAGTTCACCGGCACACACTCGGATGCAGCAGAGAAGCTCTGGTCTGAGCCAAGCAGGCACCAACCAGCTGATTTAATGCAATCCCATCTGAAGCAGTTGCAAATAGAAGCAGAAAATCAGAGGAGGGGCATCAATATGATTGAGGACCCAAACACATGGGCATCATATGTAGAAAATGATGGAAACTCTGAATATGGGTTCAGAGACTTAATCCATCGAGAGATTCCTCAATCTCAACATACTAAAGGGTTGGTAGTTGCTACTGCTACGCCATCCTATGAACAAAGAGATTCTTCTTGGATCTATTCTCAGCCTGTTTTTGAACATGCTTTTAAGCTTGGCCCAGATAGAGCAGGATTGAGTAGTTCTTTCTCAGAAGGTTCTTTATTTGCTCAAGTAGGACAGCCACCAAATGAACAACTTGTAAACAATAATTTGGAAGATGGTGTCAATAACTTTGAAAGTAGCAGGTCAACTTTGAGATCTAATTCTACAACATCACTTGAACAGAAACATTTCCAGTCAGATATGGATTTAATTGAAAGAGATAAGTTTGTTAATTATGTTGGTGGTGCTTCCTTGCAACGGTTAGGTTTCTCCAATCTGGTGGAGGGGGAGAGAGGGAAAATGCAGGGTCTAAAAGGTACTTCTGGGACTCAATCAGCTATGGAGACACAGGAAAGTGGGGTCATGCAATTCGAAGGTGGAGGTCATGAAGAGCAACACATTGACAAGCCTTCCAGACATGATTCATCTGGCAAGGCTGGTAACTTGTCTAACAGTTTTTTCTATCTCTTGGTTAATTACTTTTCCACTTGGATGATTCAGATAGCTATTGTCTTGATTTTCTGCAGGTGGAGGATTGGTCTTCTACAATTATGAAACGGGACTTGATAGTGCTAACCTTGAGGAGACCAATAACATGTAAGAAGTTCTCTGCCAATTAACTAATTTATTGAAAAGGATGATCAGTGAGAATGTTTTCTTTCCCTTATGAGTCATGAGAATTTGATGTTGGATTATTTTTCACTGTTTAATTAAGTTCCATATATTTGATCTCTTTCTTGCTTATTACGATTTATGACCTATGAACATTTTTCAAATGGATGCTGATTGATTTATCGTTAGATCTTTTGGTGATTGAGTTTGTTTGGATTTTTCTAGAACATTATTTATTTATTATTTCTAGTAACCTACTATACTTGTGTGTGCATACATATGTGAACTACATTACTAACTGTTCTTGATCATGACAAAGACTGATGCTAACACTTTGAGATCATCAATCCTAGTGACAAGATTTTTTTACTAGCTCTTTGTGTGTTAGGATATACATCCATATGTGTTAAATACTTGAACATGCAAATACATGTACACATTTTTAGATGCATATATACACAAGTTTATCAAAAGCAATCTGGAACAGGCGCTTCTTACCTTCCTCTGCCTATTCCTCTCTACTCTGTCTCTCCTCCTCTAGCCGTCCTCTTTGGGCTAAACTTAGGGTGTTTCTTAAGAACTTTTTAATCCCTCCCCATATCTCTCTTAACTGATATTCTTGCATCTCGCACCGTTGCCTCCCGCTGTGTGGTACTGCTTCTCATCCTTCACTGCCTCTTCTTCCTTGTCCAACCTTGCCTGGTCTGCTCCTCTTTCTCCTCTTCTCTCCTACTTCTCCTCTTCTTCTTTTTTCCTTCTCCTCTTATGCCCTTTTGGATGCCAATTAGTATGTACTGACCCAATTACGATGGCACTAACCACCATCATGTGCATGCAAGTCTTAGAATAGACAAGTTGCAATTAGTGTTTCATTACTGTGATGTGAAACTTAGAATAGACAAGTTGCAATTAGTGTTTCATTACTGTGATGTGAGACTAAGGGATGAAGTATTGGCATGATATTAGGTATGAATCATTCATTTGGGTCTTGAGGACCCATTGGTACCTTGGAGTATGATGAGGGAGGGAGAAAATGGATAATTTATTAGATGATAGAGACAACTCTGGGCTAGAGGTCTAGTTGAGTGTGACCTTAAGGTTACTTGGATATTCATCATACAATAGTTTGTGGTATCAACCAATTCTGATATGATAATGCTGATCTAATATTTGCTGATTTATTGGTCTTATACTGAAAAATTAGTTGGAGTTTGTTATCATCAAACAAACATAAACCAGAATCGGTTGTTTTTGACCAATTCTAGCTTCAAAAGAGGAAATGAGTGAGTAGAGGAGTAGAGGGAAGCTGAGATAAGGGAATTTAAAAAGGAAACCAGTTACTATGATTATAAAACAGAAAAGGCAATTCTTGATATTTGCTGTCAGTTGGAACAAGCCATAAATTATATTGCATTTGTTATTCTCCATAACCATTATATTTGTTGTATGTTAAACAAGAATATTCATGCCATATTGGGACATGCTGAAAACAAGAATACTGTAGCAATGTTCCAGCATACCATATGTTCGTATGCCAGTATGAGAACTGGATCTGGTATTCTTGTTGATCTTCCAGAAAAGGCAACCCTTGGGTAAAATGCAAATTTGATCCTGTTGATCCGGTTTGTAAAGTTTAGGTACCAATCGGAAAGAATGACCGTTTTGGAGCCTTGCTTGTGATCGCTTATGCATTCATAAAGATAAATGACAGCAGATGCAGACTGTTAAACTTAGTCTTCAATTTTGTTTATGCTGTGCTGTTCCTGTTTTGCAGGATTTCTGGTGATCTGCCAAAAGGAACTGACAAATTGTTCTCGAAACATGCCTACGATCTTCCTGCTACATCACCTGCAACAGTATCAGACCTGATCTCTTCTCGACCTCCCGAGAGAAGGAATCCTATTACTTCTGGATCTTCCAAGGGTAATGCTATTCCTAGTTCTCCCCTACCTTTTGTCCGTTTCTCTTCTAATTATGGTACCTTGAAGACTTTTGGTCCTTTGCTGTAGATCATCAATTCTCTAACTCAACTCTGATTTGAAAAAAAAAAAATGCATACAGAGGGAAAGCGAGAATCTGCAGGGAATCCGGCATCTCAATCTATAGAGACGTCAATCTCCAACAAGAAAGACTTGCGATTTTGTCAAACTTCCTCGGGCAATAATGCAGATGTTATAGAACCTTCATTCAGTGAGATGCTGAAGAGCACTAAAAAGCTGATGCCTGAGCTTGTTGAGACTCTAGAAGCCGGTTCCATTGGTAAGAGTGCGAAAAAGAGGGGGAAGAAAGGGAGGCAAATCGATCCATCGCTCCTTGGATTTAAAGTGCATAGTAACCGTATATTGATGGGTGAAATCCAGCGCCCAGATGATTGAGTGTTGCACCCATTCCAAGCAGTATATGAGGTGGTGCCATTCCAAGCTTTGTACAGGCCCACGTGATTCTTTTCTTCTTCTCTCTTGGCAGATAAAGTTGTAAAGCATGGTTCAGATTTGAAATTCAAGAGTGGCCTCTTTGTATCGGCGGCATGAAACATGTGTACCGATCAGTGAGATCAATACAAGTCGCATCCTGCAGTATAGCCTGCCTTGGAAGTCGAAACTGGCCTGGGCGATCAATAGCCGTGACATTGCTCCCCTCTGCAGTTGATTCACCGGTTCTTGAAAACAGATCCGAGGCTCCTGTCTGCGTTGAAACATGTCTCTTTCACTTCATGACTCTGCCATAGGGACGGGGGTACCTGTGTATAAAGCTCCCGACAATATTGAAATTTTGATGAGTTTAAATTTTATTGATGGAAAGGACCGGTATACGTATCGATCTGAACAAATGCCTAAATGATACATCAAATTATAAGTATGTCGTTAGGAGACCAAGCAAAAATTATTTTTGAATCAAGTCGTAGAAGAAAATTAATGAGCTCATTTCTTGGACAGCGCAACATCGATTTTAATTGTATGATCAAACTAGGATGTACCAACGAGAAGCCTCGCTTGTATCTAGCTACAAAATCGATGGTGCTACTTTCTTGGTGAGAGATATTGAGATTAGATTTACAAGCTACGAGTGCTACTTTCTTGGTGAGAAATATTGAGATTAGACAATATTGATGAGACTTTCGAGGGTAGCTTCGAAACACATCGATTTCTCTCGTATTGGAAAACTTTAGTATCATGTAATAAGTTGATATTATTGTACGAAGTCAATTAAGAGTAAGTCACCTACCAATGATGTAAGTTGAAGGGGTATCTACCACTAAAAACTTTGATTTCATAATCTTTGAGCGGGCTCCGTAGAGTTATGTGATCCCAAGGGGCTTGAGTGTAAAGGATATGGATTGTAAGTTTTGAGAGTTAAATAGATTTTTTAAAATGAAATAAAATATAGGATATCAATTAAAATCCTCACATATATCAAAATCCGAGGGCATTCAAGATCTTAACTAAGACCATTAACACATCATCATGGTTGGGGTCTAGATGCTCAGCCTCTTTTCTTGGAAGGTGATATAAATCCATGCTATGTAATTTATACAATCATAACTCCAACCATTTACTACAAGTTCATATCATCGTAAACTAGACTTAACATTCCGAAATTTCAAATAAGAAAGATCTTTTAACACTTTTACAAGGTATATTCATTTCGGTTCATCGACAATATTTCATTACATACAAAATATACTTATACAACAATAACATAATAACCAATAAGACTTGCACATAATTCTAAATAGCTCTCCACTGCCTCAGCCCAATTCAAACATCTCACAGAACGACAAGCTGACTTGAAAGATTTTATATAATAATGGAGTGAGCTAAAAACAGCTCAAGTGACAAAGCATATTCAGAACAAAAGGAATGATTTCAAACAAATAAGATATCATAATGCAAGGCAGAATTCAAGAATTTTCAAGATACTATATCATTATATACAAAATCATATGTGTCATGTCATTCGAAACCTATTTGGTTCATAACAAATGGAGCATAGAGTAATTGGAGCATATCAATAGCGTATGAAATGTTCCGGAGCATATCAACGACATATGAAACATTTAAGAACATAACAATAGCAAATGAAACATTTTGGAGTATATCAAAGGCGTATGAAATGTTTCGGAGCATATCAATGGCAAATGAAATATTTCGGAACATATCAATGGTATGTGAAGCATTTTGAAGTATATCAATGGCATAGGAAACATTTTGGAGTATATCAATAACGAATGAAACATTTCGGAGCTTATCAACGGCGTATGGAATGTTTCGGAGCATATCAATGACAAATGGGACATTTCGAAATATATCAATGGCATATGGACCATTTCGGAGCATATCAAAGAACGAATACGTAATAGAAGCTCAAACGTTGAATTTGACGTTACATTCATATCATTCTTATCCAAAGCATGTATAGAAACACATAACCAAAGCTCTGGATATCATATCAAACATACATAAGGTGAAGTGGGACTATAACATAATATGGTACATCCATTTTTGAATGACCACCAAACATAAGTCTCCCACGTCTGGGAGGTCTCTCACGTTTGGGAGTTTCATCCACCCACGTCTGAGTGAAGTCATAGGGGCCGACAGAGCATCACAAGCTCTATGCATAACTCCCTTCACCATTTTTGGCAAAGGTTCACAATATCCCACAAACACCAGAGTACAAAAGGATAGTATGAATAATTAATAGCACATATCGGAAGCACACGCGAAACAACAAAACGTACATGTGCCTTTACGAGTCAATACGAAGTAAGCAATAATCTTTCACAATTGTATTCAGATTTGAAAGAAAATGAAAGCAAGAGTATTCAAGGATTCCAAGCAATCACATATAACTCAATTCAAATAAGAAGGTTAGATGAAATCAATTTCCAAAAGAATGAAACCAGAATATGCGAAATCGACCAAAGCTTGATTTCTGGCAGAATTCAAGAGACACATTGAATAAATGATTCAAACTATCAATCGTGCTCCAATTTTACTCAGAAAATATATCATTGGAAAGATATTTCAATCTAGCTTCTGATGAAATAAGTTTCGTATGAATCAAGGTTTCCAACAAGGAGTTACCATTGATTTAGTAACCAAAGGTCAAAAATAAAATTACTGTTTTGCAGAATCTGTAGGCTCATTTGAAAACAGAAGTTTGGGCAGGCAAACTTACTCCGAATTCTGAAAATAAGCTATCAAAAGAAATGTTTATGAGTCTATATTCTGATCAAATAAGTTTTGTCCAAATCAGAGGTCAATACATGAAGTTATAACCATAACAAGGTAGAAAGGTCAGAATCTCAGAATCTCAGAAGTTGTTCAAAGCAAATGTAGAGATAAAATTGCAGTAAGGAAAGATCAGGACACTTGCAATAGGAAAGATTAGAAAGCTTGCAATAGGAAGGATCGAAACACTTGCAATAGAAAAGATAACACTTGCAATAGAAAGGATCGAAACATTTGCAATAGAAAGGATCGAAACACTTGCAGGAGAAAGGATCGAAACACTTGCAATAGAAAAGATAACACTTGCAGGAGAAAAGATCGGGACTCTTGCAATAGAAAGGATTGAAACATTTGCAATAGAAAGGATCGAAACACTTGCCTTTCAAATATTTTGATCCGAAGATCCAAAGAAGGTGTCAGCCCAAATCCTTCGACTTTTCCTCCGTGTCCTCTCCCTGTTTCATTTTCTACATGTCTTCTCTTTTTCCTCCACAACTATAGCTCATGCAGAACATAGAGGCATAGTCACCTGCTCTTTCTTACTCTCATTCCTTCGTTTTCTTTTCCAAACGCAGCTAGCACAGCCACCGCCGCTATCGCTGCCATAGTCACCGCCCCTTCCACCGCACTGCCTTCTTCCTCCCTTTCTTTTGCAGACACAGCTGCTGGATACGCAGTCGCTGCCGCCGTGGCCGGAATCCCGTCCGCAGCCCCTTTTTTCCCCTTTCCTTTCTTTTCTTTCCCAGCTGCAACTGCCGCAGTCGCAGTCGCAGCCATGGCCGCAGTCACCACAACAGCAGCCTCTTCTTCCTCCCCTGCTTATCTTTCTCTCCTTCTCTTCCAGCTGCAGCTGCCACTGCCGCAGCTGCCTCCCCTTCTCCTCTTCCTCTCTTCTTCCCTTTTCCTTTCTCTTCTTCTTCCTTTCCTTCTCTTCTTTCCCAGCTGCACTGCTGCAGTCGCAGCCTCAGCCACGGCCACAGCCTCTTCTCCTCCCCTGCTCATCTTCCTCTCCTTCTTCTCTTCCAACTGCAGCTGCCATTGCCGCAGCCGCAGCCCCTTCTTCCCCTTATCTTCTTCCTCTCCTTCCCTTCTTCCTTCCTCTTCCTCTTTCCCTGCCACAGCTGCAGCTGCCACAGCCGCAGCCGCAGATACTTCTTTCCCTTCTCCTCTTCCTTCTCCTTCCTTTCTTCTTCTTCTCTTCTTCTCCTTCCTCCCCTTCTTCTCCCCGATGAACAGCACCTCCTTTCCTCTGTTTCCTCCTGCAGGAAACAGAGGTGCCACCTCTTCACCCG